CTATTAAGTTTAGGATTATCCTGTATTCCCTCCATGAAGACGTGGGACATACTGGAGTGGACAAGTCACTTGACTTGATAAAGTCCAGATTCTGAGTTACACAGAGAATTCTTTCCTGGGTGTCTAGCTGGTGAGTCTTGCCCATATGCTCAGGGTTTAGTTGATCGCCATATTTGGGGGTCGGGAAGGAATTTTTCTCCAGGGCAGATTGGGAGAGGCCCTGGGGGGTTTTCGCTTTCCTCTGCAACGTGGGGCACGGGTCACTTGCTGGTGGGTTCTCTGCACCTTGAAGTCTTTAAACCACGATTTGAGGACTTCAGTAGCTCAGCATAGGTTAGGGGATTGATACAGGAGTGGGTGGGTGAGATTCTGTGGCCTGTGTTGTGCAGGTGGTCAGACTAAACGATCATAATGGTCCCTTCTGACCTTAAAATCTATGATTCTATTATTCTATTGGCCTGATAAGACTTACGATATAGAGAAGCATTGCAAAGCTTGCTCTTGGCACATACAGAGGAAGACATTGTTCAAAAAAATCTTCCCCTTTGGTCAACATCAGCTCTGGATCATTGGACCTGATCTGTATGGACTTTTTGAGTTTGGAGAAAGACAGTACAAACACTGGACACATACTAATTGCCATAGACTGTCTGGTCCAATATGTTCATTCCCCACTGAGGACCACCATTGCAAAGATATTGTTGGAAAACTTTTTAGTCTGCTATGAACTGTCCTGTAGAATCCACTTAGATCAAGAGAGATTTCAAGAGTCACCTTATCAAGAAGCTACTGCAGATAGCGGGGGTGAGGAAATCCAGAATGTATCCTCCCCAGGGAGACCCTCAGCCAGAAAGCTTATTAAGCACTTTTGGAGGCAAGTTGAACCCTCCTGAGAAACCCAAGTGGAGCCAGCATGTCAGCTTCCTAAAACATGCCAATCACTGCACAAGGAATGAGTCCTCCGGATATTCCCCGTCACAATAAATAGACTTCCTGTAGACTTGTGCTTTGGCGTATCTGCTGATGGAACTTCTATCATCTAATATTGTTCAGCTAGTTACACTTGAGGAGGGGGGACCTCTTGCTTCTGAAGATGACAGAAAGTGCAACTTCCCATGTGGAAGGCTAGTCTATGAATGCATCACTTATTTGGTGTTCTGAGGTACAGGCTCACTGGAAAACCTGAAATCCCAGGTCCAGAAGAACTCCAATACCTGATCAGTCCATCTGTGATGCCCATAGGGGTGTGCTGAACCCTGTAGCCAAACCTTTCACACCACCAAAGTATCCAGAAGGAACAGCCCCGGATAGCATGGAAGAGCCTACAGAGGGAGGAATTGCAGACAGTGGCATGGAGCCTGAGGTAGGGAGTACATGACCTCTTTCCCCAGGAGATCCATCAATACCCAGGTGCTCTGGGTGAGAACTGAAGCCCATCATCTGGTTAACCTATGACTCATAAAATCATAGAATATGAGGGTTGGAAGAGACCTCAGAAGGTCATCTAGTCCAACCCCCTGCTCAAAGCAGGATCATCTCCTGATGGTGTCTCTTGTGTTCCACAAATGGGTGTTGGGAGTGTGCTACCCAGTACTGGAAACCCCTCTGTTATCCTCAAAGTTTAGTAGGGCATTGTGCTTGTGTATGTTATATTGCCTGTTTTTGTGGTATTCTTAATCAGAGTATGAGCTCAAAAGTGTATCTTGATTGTATTATGTACTACCTTATGTTTATGCTGAAGTACTTGATAATGACATCTGATATTTCTCAGGTGGGAGATGGCATAACTCTCTTTTGGGGTTTCCTGGCCCCTGGACCTCTGGGCTGAGCCTCTAGGGACCAGTTAAGGAGGTTTCTGCATGGCATGATCTGGATGAGCAGGCCACTGAACC